TTTTATTAAAATAAGTATTAGAGAGCTCTGGTGGCCTAGAGGAAAGAAGCTACGCAGCAATCACAAAGGCACACATTTTGTGGCCAACAACTGCTCCTTGCCAGCATTACATGTTTGCTGTTCTGCTAAATTTTGCTATTCTCGGGGAGCTCTGGTGGCCTCGTGGCAAGGAGCTGCAACTACAATACCAGAGGTGCACGGTTCGAATCCACCAGATGCTCTGCCGGGGAAGGAGGGGCAATTTCCTCCTGTACCAGTCACATCTGATTTCATGGTACACTCACTCAAAAATAATAAAATAAAAAATTTTTTTTAAAAAAGAGAAAGATGAACAATCTCCTTCCATGTGATTAACTGTCTCTGGAAACCTGCTGGAGGGTCAGTGATGGGTTGGTTCCATCAACAAATTTTCTGTGGAAATTGTCAACTAGGAAATAAATTTTCAGTGTAAGGTTCCTCCAAAAACTCAATTAAAAAACAAAGGTATTTTTGCTGTAATAATGTATAAATATTCCAACAACATAAATGAAATATAATGTAAATGAAAGATTATATAGAATACAATGTACATGCATGAAACACAATATATAAATAATAAAAATATGTATTTAAATAATGTATATGTATTAAAGTATAGTAAGGAGAGACATTTAAGATGCTAAAAAAAAAGTCCAAATATTTAATATTTTGTTACATAAATTAATTTATAAATAAACAAATACTAAAGAAATACTACTTGTTTATATCTGTTCATTACTCTTTCAAACTCAAGTCTAAGAGATACTACCATTCCTAAAGCATCCATTTTAGAAGGCTTTCTGCATTGGCAAAAAGCTCTGTAAGAGTGAAGGCCAGTACAAAAGACCAACAAGATTCCTGACTAAGAAGGTGGCAGTTGAGACGATTTTTAGGGAGTGGGAGAGAACCATAAAGAAACCTTAGGGAAACTGTCCAAGTATAAATGCCCCGAGGGAAGTTTCACAGCCACAGGGTTGGAATATGATGGAAGCCAGGGTCTGTGATATAGAGTAGATGGAGATGGAACAGGTAAAGGCAGAGAGAGAACAGACCACTGGAGTGAATAGGGCTTAAATGCCACGGACCTCTTTCAAGCACTAAAGAATAGAATATCAGTTTCAAGACGAAGGAATGGTTCACCTAAGCGACAGTATTTTCAATTGTTTCATATGCATTTGAAAGTCAGATAATGAAAAGGCATACCAAAGAAAAACTGATGTCTATGAACTGTGGTGTTGGAGTAGAGTACTCAATATCCCATGGAGTGCCAAAAGAACAAACAACACTGTCATGGAGGAATTGCAAACAGAGCGCTCCTTACAACCAAGGATGCAGAAACTTCTGCATCATAACATTCATGCCATACTTTGGGCATGTTGTCTGGAGAGGTCAGTGCTTAGAATAAGACAGCATGCTTGGAAATGTGGAAAGTCAGAGGAGAAGCATAAGACCTTCAAAAAAGATAGATTGACACAGTGACCGCAACAATGGGCTCAAGCATGGTGGAGATCAACAAGATGGCACAGGATAAGGCAAGGTTTCAATCTGTCCTTCATAAGGTCACTACAACAGCTGCATATAACAATAAAATAAAGCGAGGAAACTGATAAAGGGACTGAGCAAAGGAAACTTAGCAAAAGACTGCATAAAGGAATTTTAAATATCTTAAAAAGGGTGCAATATTCTATTTAGAACAGGCTGAAAAAAGGTAAGGACAGAAGTACAGAGGGCAGTGAGGAACCTAGTACAGGTATTCAGGTGGGAGACGGGGAAAATGGGAAAGATGATGAGGGCAGGGACAAGGCCTCATAAATCCCATCCTTATGTTCAACAAAGTAAACATTGGTATCTCATTCTGTGTCTGCATATTAAAATAATTAAAACCAACCCCATTTCCATATGTGTGTATCTAGAGACAAGCATATGTAGAGAGTGGTAAAAATCATGATAGGAGATGTTATCACTAGTGACTGCATGAAGATGGACAATAGAAGAAGCGAACGACTGAGCCTTTAGCATGCTACTGTTAAGTGGCAGAGGATGAGGGGAAAATCAGCCAAAAAATGGGCAGGAGTGGAACTCCTTCCTCATAAGAGGTCACCAAATACCAAATGATCTCTTGAGTTTCTGTTTCTGATCCTTATAAAGAAATGTCTAATAGTATTACATTTGAAAAAACCCAAACCAAAACAAACAAACCCAAACACCAACACCTGACCACCTCACTTCCATCAGGTCAGAACAGATACAGTGTTGACCTCCATTTGATTTTCAAAGCTTTAATCACAAGGGAGGAACCTATTCATATTTCTTCCTCAGAGCAGCTGGTAGATTCTACCTGCCAGAGGGGTGTAGTCCGTGGCTTAAGTCTTCAACAATCTATGGACTAGACCACCAATGAGGCCTTAACTGCATGAATATGTAGTGATAAACATGCTTAGGAATTTTGTATGGTACCATGCTGCATATGTCTTGGACTGTATTGTCGATACCCAAAAGACATATATATAATGAATCATATATGATATAAACTTATCTCCATAATCGGCTAAACCAAATAGTTCTAGATTATAGTATTCCCTAATCTCATTGAAGGTCTAATTTAAATGGAGTTTAACTAGAGATAAAAAGGAGGGACGTGTCCTAAAACGTAGGGGGAGGCCATCAAGAAAAAAAATCACCATGAAAGAAAGGAGGGGTTTTTGTGGATCAACTGATCTCTATATGTTCCTACACACAGAGAGCTTTCAAGGTGATTCTCTGAACCCTCCAGTGGGCTTCTAAGACTGCAAATCTTCATGGGAAGAGACTGACCATCTTTCTTCCCTGGAGAGGTTGGTGGATTCAAACCACCAGACATGCAATTTAACACCCTCTACACGATCTCCGCATACATTAAGTCCCCTCAAATCCCAGCATCTGCCCAATGAGCCACGCACTTCCCCAATAATGCTAGTAAGCAAATGTTATAACACCACCAGCATGGCCATAATGAAAGAAAAGTTGAAGCATCGCTAACTTCATTACGGTTATATTTATTATAATTAATTTCATACAAATTAATGATGAAGTTTGCCTCATTAAAGCGAAACGACGTTAATAAAAAGCACACAAAAGCAAAGAACTTGTTGGAAACTGCCAAGGTATGTCAAATTTTGAAATAATAGTAAAGATTACAAAAAAAAAGTGAGCAGTTATGTATGTAGGTATATATGTATCTACATTATACAATGAAAAAAAAAATATATATATACACACTAAAACTACAGGGATCACATCATAGATACTTAGATATAACACTCACCTGGACTGAATTTCTGGATTTGAAGGATTAAGACCACTGTCTCACTTGATGCTTTTATAGTTAAGATGATACTGTTTATAACACGTTAAGATCTGCATTCTAGTCTAGTTAGTAATGTCTGGGGTCTTAATGTACAAGTAAATATCTGAGATAAAATTATTGGTTTCTACTCATCCAAAGCAAAAGAGAAATAAAGAAAGCAAAGATTCCAAGTGGAAACTAATCTGTAGGACAAATTATTCATTTCCAACAAGTCAGAATAAATTCTTAGCTGATTCTCCCAACACGATTACAGAATCTATGCACTGCAAGGGAGGAGATCACACCCATCATTCTTGCGAGGAGCAACTGCTGGACATCAACCACCTACCCTTGGGTTGACAACACAACTCTTTACCAGAAAGTCACCAGACAAATAGTCTACACAAAAAACTTCATCTACCCTGAGAGCAGAACTAGCAAATAGGACGTGACTCAACTAATCACAATTCTAATCAGCACCATAAGAAATACAATATGAGGAAAATGTGCAACAGAACCTCAAATTCCTAATAATAACAACAAAAAAAAATGAACCGAGGAATAAAAATGAACCTAGGAGCTTCCCCACTAAATCAAGCCTGGACGGACGGGCGGCATCCACTTCTGAAATGGCTTGCCTCCGGAAACTCTATGTACGAACAGTACTCAGGCCGTTCGTTCATAGGGTCGCTATGAGTTGTCAAACAACAACAACAACAACAATAGGTATAAGGACATTGGAGGACTCTCCCTGACTAATACCCTGAGATAAAACCCTGAGATTAAAACCCGGAACAAAACAAACCCAAAGTCACCCTGTAACTAAATAATAAACTGCCTCAAAAAGAATGATTATCACCTATAAGTAATAAGCGCTTCTTTCAGGGGGGAAAAACCCATCCCCTATATAAGACCACACATGAGATTATAAGGGGGCAGAGAAATAAGGCCGGGAAGAATAAAAAAAGAAATAGGAAGAATGGTCAAACATTATGTCACTAAACAACTTCTATACTTACGTATCTGATTGGTGGATGCACTGTAGAAGGCATTGACAGTTGTGGGATTTGTGAACCATCTGGAGAGAGAGAAGCACATGCCACAGGGTGATCATTATTATACAAGCAGAGTTGTGCAAGGTCAAATACAATGAAAATCAGTTTGGTGTAATAAGAGAATGCTGCAGAGCAATGAGGATGTCAGGAGCCAGGGCAAAGGATGGCCTAACTTTAAAGCTACAGCTCTGCTAAATGAACAATTTCATCCTAAACTGAGCATGGCTCAGTGAGAATACATTAACATGTCTTAACTAGACATTACTAACTTAATGGAAAAGTCAGCACAAGTGCTCGTGAAAGGGCGTTAATGAGAAATTCGACAATCTAAAAGATGTCTTTACACATGGAAATACATGAACAAGTTGAAGGCTTCCTGGCTGTGTTCAGTGGACATGTCACCTCCACCCTGACATTAAAATGTTTTGTGTTGGGGAACACCACGATGGACCATGTTCTGTTGTACTTAAGGTCACTACACATCAGCGGCATATTGACAGCACTGAACAACATGATACTCAGAGGAGCTACTTGTTTCTATGGAAAGTATTAAATCATTCCCCTAAAGAGCTAGTGAGTGGTCCAGCATCCAGCACTAACAAAACAAACCATTTTGCCCTTGAGTTGTGTTCTACAGGGTTTTGAATTACTAAGTACTCTGAAGTAGAAAATGGGGGGGGGGGAACCAACCAAAAACCAACCCCTAGTATGAGGATATGCAGAAGTCCTCTAAGGTATAAAGAGTCTCTAGCCCCATCTGAAACATAAACCAGGTTGAATGGATTTCTCAAAAATAAAACCACACCAGTGTCAAGAAGGAAACAACTCACAGCTGACAGTCAAGTGGGTTTCTGAAGCTGTAAAGTGCACGTCAGGAGATTGTTCATCTTTCTCCTGAAGAACCATTGGTGACTTCCAATCCCCACACAGGTGTAGTTTTTAGGGTGGCAGCACAACCACATACGGGCAAAGCCACTCCAGCAGGCTACATACACAGGAAGTGGGAAATATCTTCTTCTGTCAAGAGACAGATCTTAACTATTTTATGCTTTGTGGGCAAAAAAGGAAAAATAAAACTTTATCCAGGTCTCTAAGGAAGAGAGACATTTTTTTCACTAGTTTCTTACTGATGAAATTTAAAAATTTCCAAGGATGATTGTATAATTTTCCCCTATATCACTATTAAGAAGAAGAATTTAATTACATTTTTGAGAGATGATAACATTTTACTTGATCAAGGTTCAGAGTTACTGCTCCTCATCATTGACTCGACTACACACATAATAAAAATCATATATTTAAGCTGATACATACACCTGAATAATTTGTCGCAGAAATTAACACACTACTCAAAGAAACTAGCATTTGTATGTTTATGATTTTGAACCAAGAGGAAAAATTCAGATGCTTTATAAGTTGGCATTCAACTGAAAGCTATATTCATTCCTAGAGCTAATTTATTCTCTTCCTCTACTCACACCTCTCAACACTCTACTTGTGAACACAGAAGAAAACTATCAGGAATTCAGAGTAAGAGCCATGCAGGAAAAATGGTAATGGATGATGATAAAAGAAACTGAGCGACTGATACTTCAAATAAGACAAAGAAGGGTCTCTAGTTTAAGCAGTAACAACAAGAACATCCTGATATACACCACTAGAATCCCAGAGACTAAAGCCGTCAGTCACTCTCTGAGTTGATGACTGAACTCACTCTCTGACTCAACTTTTAGCCAAAATACAGACAGCCCTAAAAGATGAATATATGAAACCTGGGAGTAGTCACTTCTTAGAATAATAACACAAGACCAAAGGGACAGCATCTATCCTGGGACAAAGCTCAGGAGGCATGAAAGAAGAGGGCATGAGATTAATGGAAAAAGCAGCACAGGAAGGAAACACCAATATAGACACAAAAAGAAAAACACCAAGGCCTATCATAGAAAAATTTGCCAGAACCAAAGATAAAGAGAGAATTCTGAAAGCACTAGGGAGGAAAAGAAGATTAAACTATAAGGGAGAGCAAAGAAAAATTAAATGTCGATTTCTCAGCAGAAACTAGGGAAGTAAGAAGACAGTGGAATGACATATTGAACCCTCAAAGAATGTAATTTATTGTACCCCAAAAACTACCCATCAAATATGAAGGACAGATCAAGATATTCTCGGAAAGCAGAACATGAGGGAGTCTGTAAAAACAAGACCAGCATTGCCAGAACTACTGTGATAAGTCATTCTTTCAGAAGTGCCACAGAAAGGATAGACCAAAGAATCCACCACCACCACCAAAAGGAACTCAACAAAATTATAGTAATAAAGCCTTCCCTCAAAATAATCATACTGAATGTAGATCACTGAAATGTACCACTTAAGAGAAAAAGAGTAGCAGATTGGATAAAAATATAAAACCATTTAATAAGCTCTCTGCAAGATACAAACCTGAAAACTGAAGATCAACATTTAAAAAAAAAGAGTTGCTCTGATTTCAATGCCAAAATGAAGCAAAGAAAACAACAAAATATTTGTGTAGCACTGTTAGATAGGTTTCTGTTATATATACCAGACTAATACCAGAAAGTTTCTGTTATAATAGCTTTTGTGATGATGTTTTCATAGTACAAGTATTACATCCATGTTATCTGTTAGACAACGAGTTCACAGGCTCACTGGCCTATCTCTCTCGATGTTAATAAGTTTTAAAACAATGTCAAGATGTTATTTTACTAAGTATTAGAAATTAAGCAATGATTTCATAAAATTTGACATTTTAAACCAAAATCTGTTTAAAGATTTCAAAGTAGTATGTTATTTTTAATAGCTGACATAAAAATTTTACATCAATGAAGCAATCTTTTTTTAAAGTCAAATTTTCTTTTCATAATTGAGATTTTAATGAAAGTTTATAAAGAACTTAGATTTCCATTCATTCATTGTTGCACATTTTCCTCCCTAACCCCTTCCCCTAGCTCACTTTTTTCTTGGGGGGTGGGGGGGAGCTCTTTCATTGTTATCCATCCCCCACCACCAGACTACTTTACTATGGAACTCTTATTCTGAACTCTTATCATGCTAATAATATGTACTCATGTTCTTGTTGTTGTTGTTAAGTGCCTTCGAGTCATAAAGGACTTATGAATAAAAGACCTGAACAATTGTAGAACTTTCATAGTTTCTCTAAGTTCATAGCGTTTCCAGAGGCAAACAATTTCAGAAGTGGATGCCACTCCTGCCTCAAAGCTTGTTATAATTGGGGAGTGCCACCAAACCCTGTCCACCGTGGGTAAACATAAATGCATTTGACACATCAGAGGATAGGTTGGTTTTCATTTGTACGTGCAATCAAGTTGAGTATGACTCAAAGTGGCCATATAAACAACAGATCTGAACCCTATCTTATCCTGTATCATTCTCATCATCTCTAACACACTTAAGCACATTGCTACTGTTCCTGTTAACTCATTGCGGGGATCTGTCTTTTATTGAATGTCCATCTTTCCAAGTATGCAGCCCTTCTTCCAGGAATAACAACATGCCTAATGTGAGAGGAAGCTTTGGCATCTTTGGCTTCAAGGAGAATTCTGCCTGCACTTTTCCCAAGACATATCCGTGTGCTCTTTTGCCAGTTCATAGGACATTCAGTATTCTTCTACAACAGCAGAACTCAAAGCCATCAATTATTCTTTTGTCATCCTTATTCATTTTCCATGGATAGTAAGTGATAGTTACTACTCCTCAGTAAGTTGGAGAGGCCCCTGACAGCAGTCTCCTGAACTCCCCACTGCTATTATGAAGGATTATGACTGTGAACCCCAGTACGATGAAATAATTGACAATTTCAATCGTTTTTCCATCTACCATAATATTTGCTATCAGTCCAGTGGTGAGAATTTTTGTCTTGTTGATGTTGAGATCCAATTCACACTAAAGGCTGAAGTCTTTTCTTTTCTTCAGCAAGTGCTTCAGGTCCTCCTCAATTTCAACAAGCGACGTAGTGTCATCTGCATAACGAAGGCTGTTGATAAGTTTCTCTGATCCTTATGCCACATTTATATTATTAGAGTTCATCTTCGTGAATTATTTGCTCAGCATATAGAATGATTACATATGGATTTTAAACCATCTAGTGTTTCTTTCCATTTGAAAACCAGTTTCTTGTTCTAGGTAGGGAATCTATATTATATGAGTATAAGTAAATTTTCTAGGATACCATTCTTCTCACTGTTGACCATAGTTTGTTGTGATCTACACAGTCAAGTGCCTCTGTATAGTCAGTAAAGCATAAATATACATTTTTCTGGTATTATCACTGTCAGTCTGCATCCATCTAGTATCGGTAATGACACATAAATTAAAAATTCCAAAATATAAAAGGGAAAAAAATTATACCACACAATAGCTTTTGCAAAGGGAGAATAATACAGAAATATGATTATTTAAAATAAAAAAACAATGTTACAATACTGTACCAGCAGTCAGAAAAAGGAGAATTACATTGGGGAAGTCTGGTGTCTTCAAAGTCCTAAACAGTAATAACAGGGGCCAAGTTGCACATGACCCAGGCCATGGTCTTGCCAATTACTTGTCATGATTCAGAGAGCTGGGCAGTGGCTTAAGAATGGCAGAAGAAAAATCGATGCTTTTGAGTTGTGGTATAAGAGAAGAATACTGACCATACCAGGGACCACCAAGGGAACAAACACGCTTGTCTTGGAGAGGATAAAATCAAGTTTCTCTTTGAAGGTATGGATCCACATCTCACATACTTTGGCCACGTGGCCAGGAAGGACAAGTCGTTGGAGAAGGATATCATGCTTGGAAGGGTGGAGGGACAGCACAGAAGATCCTACATGAGATGGCTTGACAAAGAAACTTGGGTAGGTGTATCAGAGGAAGTGAAACAGGATAGGGCAGGGTTTAGAGCTATTGTACATAAGCTCACTATCAAGGGACTAAATAGCACAAAAGAAAACAACAAAATAAACACATATTCTAAATCACAGTCTAAGGAATATGTAATGAAAAG